GACTGTGCTTCTGGGTATTTTACTCATTTGTTGAACCTTGTTTGAGGGTTCTGTGTTGAGATGGCACCCTACTAGAGTGGTCCGTGCCTCGTGTATACGGGACGGGCCAATCCCCTAGCCAGGGAAGGGGGGTTATCAGATGACTTCTGAGCTGTGGGACTGTATTTGAGCCAATACGGGGATGTTTTTGCGAATACGTTCAGATGTATATAGGTAAATAGTCCTAATTAAGGTATCAGTTAATTTTACAGTTCTAGTATTAAATTTGGATTTTTACTTTACTCTATCCAGAAATCTTGGACTTTCAAAAACGTTCGATAACCATCAAAATCGACTCAAAATCAGTTAAAACCAGTTACTAAAAAGTGCACAAAATGAAATAACCTGAACTATATAAAGTTACATTTTATTGATAAAACAAGGAAATTCCAAGTTGAAAAAGCATGCCTGTTAATATACTGTCGTCACGAAAACATCATTTTCCAAGAACATTAACATGCCACGACACTGACCGCCTTTAAGGTGTAAACAGTCAAAGCTAAAACCATGACGTGTAAGCTTTTGGTGAATCTACTTGAACTTTAATAAATAAGGTGTCGTCAACAAGAAAGCTTCGTGTCCTTAGGTGGTTATGTGATACAAATTTTGGGAATCCAAACCATGAACGGCCTTCCTGTTCTACAGGCTTTTCAAAGACTTTCTTATTTGGGTCTGCAGTAAATTCCGAAGAAACGTTTTGTCGTTGATTTGGATTATCTTGCTGATCGATTAATGTAAATGTTACATGCTTTGAGAACCCCCAGGGTAATATGGCGTCATATTCACCTTTCACCACAGCAATAAATATGGAGAGATGAGTGTTCTTTCCAATACCATTACCATTTGGATACAACCCTAGCATCAATTTGTAACCATAAGCGTAAAATGGAACACTTTCAATGCACCTCTTTACATTGTTTTTTCCTTGCCTCAATTTGTCTTCAAAGCTTGTTATCTTCCATATTAAAGTGCGGGATTCCTCTGTATCCACCTCTAATATCAATAGTTTATTGCTAAGGTCAGTGTTTAACGAGTCAAATTTGTCATCAAGTTCCTTCTTTACCATTCCCACATTCTGGACTCTATCTTCAAGTAACATCGGGCAAAACGTTAAAAACACTAGTCCTAACACCATACAAGCCAAAAATATTTCGCCCTCCCTACGTATTTTCTGCTCTAGTTTTGTTTCACACGTTTTTACTTTTTGTTCAAGCTGCTTTTGAAGGACACCAACTCTCCGTTGGTGTTCCTGTTGCAGGGAATCTACTTTGTATTGATGCTGGTGTTGAATATCTTTTAATTTATCTTTAAGTCGTTCGTTTACCCTCTCTTCAAGTCTGTCGAAAAGTATTGCCTTCTCTTTTAATTTTTTCTGAGTCTCCCGTAACTCACCGCACGCTAAATCGAGGTGATCTTGAGTTGCATGGTTAATATGTGATTTAAGTTGATGTCTCTGCACCTGGAAATAAAATGCTATAGTTTTAACTATTTCTTCCACAAGAACAAAGCTACTAATTCATACCTATTATAATTGCAACGTCTTTCGTTCCTATTAAGCCATTCTCGTTTTTTCTTCTTTTCAGCGTCCCATAGATTTTTTGATTTTAGATCAAGGTATGTACCTTGATCTTCTCATGAAACTATAGGAGGTCCCTAGCTAGTCAGTGGTAATGTTGTAGGGTACCGCAAATCTCCTTATAGAGACCACTCAATGAACACAGCGATCACCAAGTGCAATTTCTAGTGCCCTGACAAACGCGCTGTCCTCGGTTGCACTACGTTACACTTCCAGGGTAAAAAACGTTCACCTGTCATTACTGAACTGGTTCCTTAGTCAGTGTGACAACTAAAAACCAATTAATCCTCTTAAGAGCTTGCCTTGGCGATTGGGAAATGTACAAACCTGCAGGGATAACTTAGTCATAATGTGGCTGTATTTAACTTAGCCTAAACATTTTACCTCTGTGCGGCAGCCCATCCACGCATATGGACACGGGATTTTGG